TAGACTTGTTGTACGTGACCAACAAGCCCACTTCCTTCTTAAACAAAATGTCCACCTTGTTTCTTTAATACTCGTCGCCAGTTTGTCGCACCTCACATAACACGCGTGGTGGTGGCATAAATTAAACGGCCTGATATAATGCACTTGGTGTTTTATTATAATCATCAGCGAGGTTCGACATATTATTTCTTAATTATAGGTAACATAGGTTAGCACACAAGTTATCGCAATCGACGCCATAATAATAAGTGCTGGCGGTGAGAATGTTGCCAGAGCTCGATCTACAATTTATAACACTCCACGAACATTTAGCGGTCAGGAAGCTTTGCGCCCGGTGGATACCTCATAATTTGACTGAGGCTCAAAAACTCCATCGTGTGGATTGGTGTCGTAAAATGATTGAAAGATTTAACGGAGGTGACTTAAATGCTGTGTTCGACATACTAACAGGTGACGAAAGCTGGATTTACTGTTATGATCCTAAAACCAAAAGACAATCTGCTCAGTGGGTGTTTCCTTTCGAGGAGTTGCCAACTAAAGTGAAGAGAGATCGAAGTGCGGGAAAAAAAATGGTGGCCTCGTTCTTTGGAAGGATAGGTCATTTTGCAACAATTGTGTTAGAGGATCAAAAAACAGTTTCTGCAGAATGGTACACTACCAATTGTTTGCCACTTGTCTTGGAAAAAGTTCGAGAGAAACGACCTCGCAGTAGGATCCTCCTTCACCACGACAACGCCTCGTCGCACACCGCCAAGCGAACGATCGACTATTTGGCGACATCAAACGTTGAATTACTGGGTCACCCGCCGTATAGCCCCGACCTCGCGCCTTGTGATTTTTATTTATTTCCAAAAATTAAAGAAAAACTTAAAGGAAAGCGGTTTATGAATGCTGAAGAAGCGGTGGCTGCGTATCGCGATGCCTCTGAAGAGACCCCTAAGGACGAGTGGGCAAAGTGCTTTTCCCAGTGGTTCCATCGCATGCAGCGGTGTATTGACGTGAATGGACAATATTTTGAAAAGATATAATAAAACTAATAACTGGCTAATGTAATCAGTTTTTGATTTTCTAAGAACTTTCAGTTTGACCCTCGTATACTACACGTACTTACTGAAATATGAAGCTTTAGAAAGCATTTGCACATATTTGTCGCGAGCTCTTCGTCTATTAGAGGCATGGGCCATGCATGGGCCTCGCCAGGGTTGGTGCCTCCTGCATATTATTATTAAATACAAAATGTAAAAGTTTCGTATAATTTCAACCGATAAATGTTTTTTTTTTACCTGTTTTTACTTCGACCAATCAGTCTGACTGTGACAGATATAGTTTTTCAATGGATACTTTTAAATGGATATTCGGGGCACAATGCCCTGTATTCCGTGACTGATCATTAAGGATTGTCAAGGGGACGAACACTGGTTTATCTTCAGACTAGTATACATAGATTCGCAAATCATTACTTTGCCGCTGGTTCAATCGGGTAAAAAAATATGTATTTTTACCTACTCACTTTACCGGACAGGAGAGTGTAATTACACCCCGTTGCCGGCACCCTTTGTATCGACTTTTCTGTTTATTTCAATGTTCTTAATTTATGCAAAGCTTTTAAGGAAATCAACATTGGAAACGGATGCTTCTTAATTTGTAGAATTCGAGACTGGGTATTTTAAGTGTATTTTTATTGGCAGTTTATTAAAATTAGGTTTAACGAGTTTTAGAGCGTTTAAACCCGCCGTTTACAATTAAAGAAGTAAAAATAAATTGGCATTAATTTAAAAAATGCATTTTGAACTACAACTAATAACACCACATAAATACAAAAAATAAACTAAAATTCTTAAAAAATATTTAAGAGAAATAGTTACAAAAAATTGTTAACAGGGAATATAGGTACATTTGCTTTAAAAGTGTTAAATATATTTTATAACGAAGATTATTGCTTTAGAATAATATCTATGTAAGTTTATAGTCAGGAAAATAATTATTAAAGAGTGATTGTCACACGATATGTGACGACAAAGTTCTAATAGAAGTGACTATACAATATACCTCAATTCATTGAAAATATAGTTCACCTAATTTTAATTATATTCGCTAGGTACCTACTTAATTCTGCTAACAATTCAGCCATTAAATAAAATAAAAAAAACTGATAAAATAGAGAAACATTTTTTAGGTAAGACGTTTTTAACAGATAAAGGCTTACTAAGTAGATACTTTCTAGACTTTAATTACTTACCGTAAGATTAATTAGTAATGAGGGACCCCTATTAGTCCCATACAGATAGGTAAGTCTTAGAAATAATTATGAGTTTATTGACTTCCAACTATTTTTAGTCGTTTAGGGCTTATAGCTATAGATAATTAAGTTCTCTATAGAATACCTACCTAATAGTCCGTACCTATCTACGGAATTGAGATAAAGGTTGATTCAGTAAATTATACTTATATAATTAATTACAACATTAAATAACACATATCCATTCCAAAACTCTATAAGTATAAGGTAAGTATTTTTTGGTAATGAAAATATAGATAAACATGATTTGCCCATACAATGTACTTGTTTCAAAATTAGTTTTCGGCCTGCTTCGCGCTCGTGATCCTGTATTATACCTACCTATAACCATACCTATAAACCTTAGTATTAAAGCACTCTCTATATTTATGAAAATCGCATTAATCCGTTGTGGTAGTTCAAAAAATCTCAGCGTTTAGACAGCGGGAAGCGACAGATAAATTATTATTTGGTTCAACGTAAAGTAGTAAACGTACTCAGGCAATTCTGATAAGTATTACATAATAATTGAGTTCAATATAAACATACGTTAAAACTTGTAGAATTGCTCTATCGTATGTGATATTATTTTTTGTGGCTTGTGTCCTAGAAGTGAAAATATATAGGTTTCTGTAAGAATATGTAAGGCACTTATAGATGATGGTTTGACGGAGAACTTTTACAGTAATTATCCTATTAATGTGCTTACTGTTGCACGGGTCTTCCCTATGGCAGAAATCGAATCGAGGCGAATGGTCAAAATATGGGCATGTAATGACCCACCACACACAGAGGAGCTAGAGTTAATTTTGGTCAACCATCTTGTAACTGGCCTTAGCGAAAGTTGCTTAAAAATCGAAAGATTTACAGTTTATCACGAATGGAGGTCGTCGCACAAATATTGACTAAGAACAAATTGCATCACATTAGGAAACACTCCTCAGATTTAACGCTATAACAAAACAAAGTTATCTGCGGAAGAAAACACACGTTGACAACTCACAGCCTCGGTGAAAGATTAACATTATAGCCTCGCTATTTCATGATTACGTTTTATTTCCTCGAAATATTAAAAGAAAATATTTCCATTAATTATTTACATCATTACAAAACCTTCGTTTCGCGTTCTATACCATAGAGAAATAAGCAAACCGCTTTAAAATCCTTAGTTAAAAGGTAATGTACAGACAGCGGGAAGCGACTTTTATTTATTATTATCTTTTAAATATGAAATACTCATTTTTCACATTATAAATTAATTACAGCTTATTTGAAAGCCTTTCCTTGGGAAAATCAATATAAAGACATAATCCTTTCTGGTAAACGAGCCATCTTCATTTCCGTTGAAATAGGTGCTAATAACGGGAAATTTTTATATTCCGGTTTATTATATTAATTTTTATTACATAGGCTTACTAATAAATTATATTACAGTAAATAAGATTACACAAATAATTGCCTAATTCACACATTCCGTTTTACCTACCAGAAGATCCCAATGTTTTTTTGTCCATTTTCAAAATTCCGGAGTCACCTTATGAGGTTATAGACGTCTCCCAGTTGCATCAGGGGGGTGACTAAGCCTGCAACTTCTGTATTCCTTGAATATTCATAATTACTGGTGATTCATATGGCTCATGTAGAGTAGAGGTGGTTTAGTGATACTAAAACAAATGTATGACAAAACACACTGTGCAATTTATCAAAAAATACCAAGACCTGTTAATTAACAAGTAGGGTTGTAAACCCTCACAGGAATTTCCATTTCTCTAAGGATCGCTCAGGTTTAATGGCAGTGAGCAATCGTTGAAGCCGAGACATATAGTAAGTTCAGTGGTTACAGAACCACGTAGACCACGCACAAGATGACGTTCAATATGTAGGTATGTAACCAATTAGACTGAGAATCAGATGAAGGAAGGCCGCTGGGTGCGGGCAGCACAGGACCTTCATGGAAATCAACAGGTGACGTGGTACGGCTAACGATTATTAAGTTTAAGTCAGTACTTAGGTATATGAGCTAAGTTGTTATCCAATTAAGAAAAATAACGAAAACATTAAAAATAAACAAAATCCATGCTTTGGTTCACTTTTATCATTTATATATTGTGTTATTTACATATAACAGTTTATTTGGACTTTATTTCTATTGTTAATAATTTGTCGGTTAGAAAATTTCGATTAACTTGACTATCTATTGTCCCTGAAGTATTCCCCCAGAGGCAATGTCTTTCGCTTCTACTTCTGGTAATGCCATATAACATACGCATGGTAAAGCATGTTGGTTTGTACTATGTAATAGAAATGCTCAAACATTTATTGTCCTTATGGAAATATCTACTTCAAGAGCAATTGATGGACTAATCGGAAAATTTCTTTGTGATAGAGAGAAAATTAATAAACAATGTACATTATTAGTAAGAGGGATGTTTTTTTAACTATTAGGTAATTTTTTTTACTTTTCCAAAACTGAGCTGTTTACAGATTTTCTATTGATATAATTTTTTTATTATCACATTTTCCGGAATTTAGTAGAGAGCTGCTTTTTTTTAATTCCAAATTTCAGTTGACGTTACTATAAACGACATAGGAAATTTAAACAGAAAGAAACCAAGGCCCACCTTATCGATTAGTTTACATATTTTCGCTGGCACATCCTTTATCAGGAAGTAGGAGTAATGAACCTCGCCGTGTTTACCCTATGACGACTCTCCATACCAATATAAATGTTCGCTACATGGGACTATACGTTCATACTTTCTGGTGGCGCCTACTCGCCTAGTACTTTGAGAAAATAAAAATTTAAGAAATAAACAAAAGAAAGATTTAAGTAAAAAATGGCGAGAACACAAACAGTTCTTTTGATTCAATTATTTTTAATAAGCTGTTATAATGCTGTACCGATTGAAAATGATCTTGAAGTATTAGATAATAATAGTATAGATATGGCAGAGAACAGTATAGATGGCGCTGATAACAGCATTAACTTATCACACCTGGGTTCAGAGGCGTTTGGATCACCGAAGAATGAAAGTGGTAAGTACCTACTCCATTAATTAAACTCAAGAAAACTGTCGAAGTTACTTTGTACAAAAATGGCTTTAATACGGCTTGACCCTACAACATCTATTATAGCCAAGAGACATTATAATCCAGTAAAATATTTTTCAAATAGGTGGATTTAGGTTTTTGCTATAAAAAGCAACCGCTTTTATTTGGGGGTGGATATTTTTCGGGGATAATAAATGTTTCATTGAATAGAACCGTGGAGATAGATTGAGTACTTTTAAGGAACTTTTATTCGATTCATTTTCACTTAAGTTGTCTGGATAGTGCCTATATTTTTATCGTCATCTAAGTTGTACTACGAGTACAACAAAAACTTTGATGACACCAAAGTCAAAAATGATTTGTTTGTATGAACCGTTGTTAACAGTTTTTTGTACATTTTTATTAAAAAAAAAAATAGTGAAAAGGCAAAAGTAAAACAGGCTTTATAATAATATTAATGGTTGCTTTGGGTCGGCTTGTAGATATCCTTAATACAAGTGATATAGCTGCTTAATTTAGGATTGTATTTAATGATTATCTTATAAATGTTTAAAAGCGAAAGGTCACTCATTCACTCATCACCAAATCTAAGAAAGTACTTAGTGCTTAGTACTTAGTATTAGGACACGCATTTGACTAAAGTTCTGTGCATGCAGATTCGGTTTTTGCCTTTTTGTCTTCCAAAAGTTGCTCGTATCAATAGACCATAAGCTGTAATGACTGAATATTATAGGAAAACTCTGGTAAAGGCGTAGAAATGACCAAAATTACAATAATATAAATGTAAAAATGTCTCAGTTTGATACAATAATGATAAAATTTGATGCAATTTGAATAGTTTGAGGTATGGAGAAGGATATTATAGATTAGGCAACTTGTTTGACTTGAATTTACGTGAACGAAAGTTACTGGTGAGATTCGTGTTACAGATGCTTACTTGTAAAAAATACTTTGGGTCATAGCTTGATCTTGTCATAATTATATTATACTTCCTTATGTTCGTACCTATATACATATTTGATACTTTAAGAATTGTTTACCTAGAGGGGTTTCTTAATATTATAGTATTTGCTAAGCCGAGACAGTTTTGGTTCAAACTTGCACTTATTGCAGTTTGGATACTAAAACGTTACGCATTTTAAAAAATATGTAAATTTCGCTACAATTTCGACTAATTATCACCTTACCAACGGAACACGGCACCGATGACAGGTGTTTGATAAACTTGTCAAATGCGTTTGAGATGTATTGACGGCTCATTTCCTCTAGTTTATGACATCCTGGTACAGTTTTCGATAGCGTTTGAGAAATGATTAATAAATTGCAATTATACGTACTTTCAACAGCCCACTCACTACTTACTGTCTTTGCTTTTTTAATTGTAAGAGTTAAACTAACAGATAACCTCCGAATTTAACTTAATGCATAATACTTACTTACTTAATTGCTGTGTCAGCAGTCATTACATATTTTATCTCAACTCTGTTCTATATTTTTGCTATTTAAAAATATTTTCCATGAGCTAAACATAACTCTGTTGACTGTATAAAAAATAAATTGTTAAGAAAACTCGTCGCATTCCATCTGCATATAAGTAAAGGTAAATTTAATTAAATCTACGAATTTCATAATTCCGCACCTTGGAATGGATCTAATAAAAAACTAATCTTGTTATTTCAATTTACAAATAAATAAGTCCAATTAATTGTAATTAATGGGAGTTGAATGTTAAAGACTATTTTTGATGTGTATATATATCGAGGAAATACAAGAATTTCGAGTTTTTGTGTAATTGTGCCAAAATTAGAATTTCTTATCTTCTCTCGATAAAAATATTACAATAATAACATTAATCGTTGACTATATTCGGTTTCTTTTCGCAATTTTTACTTTTCTTTTTCCCCGCTGAAGAGAATTACAGTAATTTTCCAAAATGGTTGCGAAATGCGCTAGTCAGCTGGTGGTCAAATTAGCTGTTATTGGTTCATTTATTGATGTTGTGTTGTTGATTAAATTACATCCAATAATGGTTAATTTATTTGTTAAATAAATTTATATGTTGTTAATTAATAGCGTGTAATGGAATAAATAGACTGACATCTAAGGTAATGGAAATCTTTACCTTTTGCTTCAAATCTCTTTTTTGCTATCAATAGTTTGAAGGTCGAACACCTCGAACACTAATGTGGACTATTAGGTAAAATACTACTTTCTTTCTAAATAGTGCTTATATGCGTAATGTTTAACCTACGATCACACTTACGCCATCTAGCGGGTAAGAAGGAAAAATCTTTCTCGTTCTGACTTCTGAGACCGAGTGGCTCGCTTGCCAGTTTTAAGGTGTCACCGTCTGAGGTCTCCGGTTTGGTTCACGGTCCAATCAATTTTGCAAATGAACTTTTCTTATAGTCTAGAGTCTGGGTGGTGCGGTTCCTACGTTGTTTCAGTTTTCAGGTTTTCATAACACAAATGCTGAAAGCTAAATTAGGATCTGAGCCACGGATGCAATGTCAAATATTTATGTTTATATTTAGGCGATGCACTAACTGAATGGAATGAGTCTTCCCTGATGAACCCCGAGGAGATGGGTTCATACGCCGAGGGAGACATCCTCATACCGCACCCTCTCGGCAGGAACGGTGTACGGGAACAGAGTTCCTGGTGGCCCAACGGCATCATTCCCTACGTTATTGAAGGATATTATAGTAAGATAACACCTATTTCTTGCTATTTGGAATACTTTTTTTTATGATTATCGAATTTCACTATTCAAGAGTTTGTATTAATATTTTTCTTTCAGTTAAAAATATATATAGAAATCGATGTATTACCTGCTCATTTCATCATGAAATCGATGTATAAAGAAACTTGATAAAAACTCACCTAACCCGTCAAAAAGATTGCAGTTAGCGTACAACTCTTTCGTTTGATTAGCTTTCCAATATATTTGCGTCTAACGCTTGCCTTAGTAAATTACGATTAACGTTAAATAACTGATCATTTTCATTAATTATCTTTCGAAAAATCACATTTCTAACGAATGAATTTCGTGAAAATCTTTCAAATGTCAAAATGAAAAGTATTGCGATATATTTTAAAGTTGGACAATTAGCCTCTTGTTGTGGTTATATAAAGTCAAAGAAATCGAAGCTTTGCCACCATTAGGGAATATCTTCTACTTTGTAGAAAGAGATATTGGAATTGATTGGATAGCAAATTTTTTTAAATAATTTCGTTTATGTACTGTTGAAAGATCATAAGTTCATAGCGGATGGTACCTCCAGCTACGATTCAAAAGTGTTTTCAATAGTTTTATAAAGACAGTTGTTAATGATACCCAATTGATTTGATAATGAGAATGACATGGTTTTCTAAAATTAAATACCGTCAAGTAATTCTGTTAGTGCTGATGAGTCAAATCAATCAATCATCAAAATTCAATTTCCAATCAGCCAAAAAAAATCTGTACAAAGTGGAAGAGCGACATTTTCCTAGACAGTACTTAATACACTTTCACCTATACAAAGTATAAAACAAAGTAGCTTTCCACTGTCTGTACGCTCGGTACTTTTAAACTACACAATGCATTTCAATACAGAGTGATGGCGAAGCTACTGGCGGAAAGTCAGTAGTAAATATAAATAAAAAAATAGACAACTTATTTATCATTGGTTTAATTTACTAGATCAGGAGCAACGCGATTTGATAAGGAAAGCTATTGCGGACTACCACCGGCTGACTTGCCTTCGTTTTGTGCCGTACAATGGGCAGAAAGACTACATCACTATACAGAGTGGGAATACCGGTTGTTGGTCCAGCGTAGGCCGTATCGGTAAGACATCCTGTTGTTTTATGATGCCTTGGTATTTTCAAACTACATAAAGTAAAATTCGTCACGTCAGGCTGAATTCTTACAGCCGTATCAAGTTTTGAGTAAAGTAGCACTGTAAATGCATTGTGTTTGATGGATTAGTAAGGTTCCTGATGGATGACTTTGAATTAATTTCTTAATTTTCCAGGTGGACGACAAGAGGTGAACCTTCAAGCTCCCGGTTGCGTTTCTAAGAAGGGGACGGTATTACACGAGCTGTTGCACGCGGTCGGCTTTATGCACGAGCAGAGCCGTCCGGAGAGGGACGACTTCGTTACTGTAGTCTACAATAATATCAAACCTGGTTTGTAACATATTCTGTAGTAAAATCAGCCTAGATCTCGACGTCGAGATTTAAGGAAAAACCTATATTACCTATTGAAGAAGGTTTTATTTGAGTTATTGAACATCTATGCTTTGATAGTGCTATGTTTGCAATCAAGTTTGAGGAGGTTAGGTACGCTGTAGAATATACCCAGGCATATACTACACTACAATACTCTACGCTTCATGACAACAGCGTATTCTGAGGTTCAGTGCTCCTCTCTCTTATGCGGCCCCGGTTAAAACTTATGGGTTAGGGTAAGGTGGGTACAGTGTTACAAAAGAAACAAACGATTATGTGGCGATGTAAATATTGGTTTAATCAACTTTTTACTGACTTGATATAAACTATAACAATTTCTCTTTACTTAGAATTATTAAAACATGACTATTATTAGCAACAAGCTAATTAAAATTGTATATTAATAAAGTAAGTCGATTGAAACACTGTGTCCCGTATATGGGTACTCTGTAACAGGGTAAGTTATTTTATTTTCTGGAATAAATAAGAATCACAAGCTCGGAATTTGTGATTGTGAATGGGGTTAGGGCTATATTCTCCTATGCGACACCATGAAATTATTATTATTTCCATTTGGTGCCTTTAGAAGACTTATACCACTTTTGTGCCATTAGTCACTTCTGTCATATTTCTTTCAGTATGAAGGCCATGATCCATCTTTCTATTACGATTACTTACTATTTTCTTTTAAAATCTAGGCACAAAACAAACTCAAAATTTGGGTGGGGCTCATTGTTGCAGTATAACACAGTGCCCCAAATGGGCACTGGTCGAACAAAAAAAAAATCAAAGAGTAATTAATAGACATTACGTTTACAATAACCAATTAAATGATAATATGAAGGCAGAAAAAACAGTAAATACATGTAAACCTTAATCACTTACCTAAATGTCATATATCAGGAAAAAAATAAAAAACATTAATGATTTTTTTTTTCTACGTTTGGTCATCTAAATTCTATACTTAATCGAATAACATCAATATGTGGTGTAAACTGAAGTAATGAAAACTAATCTAAGATGGCCATCGAAGAGCTTGTCAAAACAGTATACAAACATTTCAAAAAGTAATGACAACGATGGATTCATGTGCATTGTAACAGTATGCCCCGTGTAACACTGAGCCCACCTTACCGTAAATGTAAAACCAAATCCAGCAGTGTAATGTGTAGAATAAGAAAAAAGACAGAAAATGTAAAAATACCACACAAAATACGATATTAAAATATGTCGCTCACGCGCTTTAATTTTGTAATACTGGGCCATGGCCCTATTGGTACAAATTTGATTTACGTTCACAATGAAATATGGAATACAGGTAGAATAAATTTACGGGTTTGAATCACCTATATTAAGTTACTATTTTGAAATATTTACATAAGCCGTATTGTTTTTGATTGTGCAGGTGCAGAGAATAACTTCAGGAAGGCGGACAAAGAGCATACCAATGACTTCGGTGTTACATATGATTACAACAGCGTGATGCATTACTCAGAATATGCCTTCTCCAGAAACTCCAAGAAGACAATAGAACCTAAGGTATTTATGCAACTTTGCATGAAAAATTTTATATGGTAATATTTAGGTATTGTTATATATAATATTTCATTTTGCTACAAAATATTTTCTGTAAATTGAGAGGAATTTTATATAAATTCTATGTCATCTTCAGCCTCCAGCTATTTTCACATAAATATCATATTTAGCATAGACTTCCGACGCGACGTGAAATAAGGACAAACGAACCTCTCTCACGTCGTAAGTCGGTTTCAAGGCAAGTTTAAGTCCCGGTGGGGCTAATGTAGTACTTTTTTTATATTGTCTCGGGTCTGAATGTTGTGCTACTTGTCTTGTAATCTGAGTAACGTATGTGGTTATTATATTTTATAAATTTTGCATTCAGAATGCTATACTATAAGGGTGATTCTTGGGAAATGTGTTCTCCGTGTAATTTCCAGGGCAATTTTGAAATCGCAAAATTATGGTGAATTATATAAACATTTCGAAAACTTCTGCAAATTTAAACAACATATTAAAATTGGCCACGACTGAGATCTATACTTTTGCTAAAAATAAATGTAGAAAATTGGTGGACCATGGAAATTACAATAAAGGCAATGGAAATTACACAGCAGATAAAATTTGCTAAACACCAGGTCATATATGAAATTAAGCTGTCATATTAGTTAGGGTAGTATTAAGATCTACCTACATTATACTGAAACGATATACGATAGTACTTATTCAAAATTGGAACGAAACGTAAACACGTTAATGTTCTCAAAAAACAAAATATATACAACGTGTTATGGAAATAGCGCAAAACCTCTCAGGTAGCTCAGCCCATAAAACTGAACAACTTTCACTATGAGACCAACATTGAAATTTCAGCATCTGGCAAATTTTTCGAAGTAACGTTATATCGGACAAACAAAAGTCGGGCGTCGAAGTAAGATATGCGATGTATTGAAACTTCGAACAATGAAGGCTTCGACGTACTCGTATAGTTGTCGATGTATCAATTATCGAAGAAACGTGTTTCGAAGTGACATAGAGAACCCTTTTTCGAAATGGTTATTTATTTTGTCAATTATCTTATAATCCTACGTCAAATATCAATAATTAATTTATTGTAAATTTAATTGGCTTTCATTTAACACCAATTTGGTACCTGTAGGGCCAGTGGTTTTCTCAAAAACGATAGATAGCGAACACAGGTCATAAGTAGATATTAGGAGGTTATTTCAGTCAAGATAACCCCCTTGGCTATCTATCGTTTTTGAGAAAACCATTGGCCCTACAGGTACCAATTTAGTGTTTAATCAAAGTAAATTTTTACAATAAATAAATAAATTATATAATATGTTAACTTAATTCGGTGATATTTAAGACGATTGAATAAAAAAAAATAACCAACATTTAAGTCTGTATTTGGCGATGGCGTGCATTTCATTGAAAACAAACATTGAACATAACGTTTGTTTTTTTGCAACCAAAAAGAAACAAGGTAATTTCCATGGGTGATACGTAATTTCCATGGTGTTTTATCCATGGAAATTACCAAAAAACATATATTTTGAAATTACTCTGCATTGAAAAGATATAACCGGCTAGTTTTTTAGTGTTTATCTACATTATAGAGCTAGGTATTTCATATTAAAACCCATTTTCTAGAAGAAATACAATTATATTGAAAAAATGTGACATGGCAAAGCCGGGTAACTGAGAACCAAAATTTAAGAAATTGAAGAACTTATTCTCGCAACGAAAGCGCGGGAAACAGCGACGTGGCCACCTCACCTGCTAGCTGCGGCGTAAATGACGATTCGTAAACACCAATCGGGGTTCGTCTACGCTTCTCCAGCTCAGAACAGTATCTCGCGCAAGGCGCGCCGCGATAATTTTGCTAAGCGTGTGACACGTATACTTCTGACCATAAAATCAAAAGTTTCCTTCCGATTAATTTGAAATTTGATCAATATGTAAACCGATTTGTCTTTTTTAAATGTGTGTAACAAACTGATTAAAAACGTGGGTAATTTCAAAAATTTTTGCGATTGCTCAAAAGTCGGCGCGCGTGTGACACGGTAAAAACGTGCAAAATTGACCGGATTTGAGGTGTTGAGGGTAAGTTACTCCGATCTACGTCGTTTTTTATCCGTGAAATCTATATGACACGATGCTTAATGAAATGAAGAAACGATGTAATAGTAGTTTTTATCATAAAAATTTATTTTTATAGGAGATATGTCCCTGTGACACTCAAAAATTGCTTTTTCAAGAAGTACCCATAAATATCTTTAAAGTAAAATGATTAAACCAGTCTCAGATATCCCTAGATGAGACTGCAACTCACAAACTTTTGCAATTCGAGTGACCATTCTAACCACTGAACTACCCAAAACCTAATAGGACTGGAGATATTTTTCAAGCACTTGTTCCATTTGCTACCAGTGAGCGTATTTTCTTCAATGTTCAGATTCCTGGGGCTGGTGAAATTTTTAAGTGTTTTTCATTAAAGATAATAAATGTATCTGTGTGGTGTTGTTTAAGAACTATTTATAAAAAAAAGCAGTTCCCTAATGGACAATAAATTCTAGTGATATTTTCAGGTCAGCGGAGTGACTCTGGGCCAAAGGGAAGGCCTCAGCAGGGGAGATGTAAAGAAGGTCAATAATATGTACAAGTGCAAAAAAGAGTAAGTAAAAAATAATAAATACGGAAAGTGACTACATATGCAATATTCCTAAAGTCATCATCATCACCAGCCTATTAATATCCCCATTGCAGGGCCTACCCTACAAGCTTACCCTATGGGTGGAATCGAATAAGGAGAATGGGCCATGGCTCACCGCGCGGGCCCGGTTTTGCGGGCTCGTGATATTTATATTATGAATTTTTGGTCATACATTATTTGGCAGACCCTTGTGAAAGTTGATTAACAACTGTATTTCAGACCGAAATTGCTAACCACTGCGACTTCGAGGTCCTTGACATGGAATACTAAAGTTTAAAGATAAAATAATTAACCTTTAGTAGATCGCAGATTTGCTAGAACTAGTGAAAATTTTCAAACCTATTCTTTCCTTACAAATTAAAAATGATAATATTATTTGATTTATTGATTAAATAATAAGCTAAATTACATTTACAATATTAAATACACGTTTCGAATGCTTATTGTGAACATGTTTTCTTTCAGGGAGCCTCAGAGCGGTTGGGTGGGGAATATTTTCCAGTCTCTGTTTGGCCACAAGATGGCCAAGTAATCAAGATTACATTTCCGTGCACTATTTCCAAAGATCTGTTAGTTTTACGTGTGACCTAGTCTTAATACATTTTTTATATTATGCTTTTTCAATTAAAATTTTGCTGATTTATTTATAGCGTTTTGTATTTTTTTGGTGTGTCCCATTTATTCTATGAAACATGACGGAATAGGCCAAACTGCAAAAATAATTTCCCCATTTGTACTATAGAGAAGTTTGTGCTTTTCGTCTAATTGTTCCATAGAACATATATAATCTAGTTGATATGTATAATTGCCACAATTATTTTTTTTATAAATTTTAATAGTATAATGTCATTAAAGGAACAAATAGCGAAATTATTTTCGCAACTCGACTTATTACGTCATGTGCCATGGAATAAATGCATAAATAAATCGGACGTACCCTATTTTATTTTTGTCACCCTTAAGGGGCATAGGCAACCTGGCGCTTTTTATAAATAAGAACGTCAATTAAGGATATTAATTAGAGCCTAATAAAATAGGCTAAGATATATAAACGACTGCTAATAATTCTGTAACAGGTGTTCATTGTTGAATTGAACTAAAAAAAAACCGAATGCGTTTTTCCGTTGAATCCAGTTAGCTCGACTTTTCTTCTTATTTGCAAGCCTGGAATTATTTTCAACAAAGAAATAAAAGAAAACCAAAATTCATGATATATTTATTGCTCTATTTAATTAAATACTATGTTACACTAATTTAACAGAACTACCTATAAGCATTATAGCTATCATCATAGTCATATGCGTGTGACAATATGGGATTCTTCTTTTTACATTATTTTCATATAATTGTTTATGTCAGATTCCATGAGACATTTCATGAATCTGTAAGATCTCTCGCATCTGCAGGACTCATCTATAGAAGGAAAATAATTATGTAATTGTTAATATTTCTGCGTAATCTAATGCCATAACTAGTCAGCCTCTGAAGTAGATATTTTGTAACATTATTATTACCTCGGTATGATTGCAAAAAACGGGATTGCTATTATGTACCTTGTTTTTATTTAGTTCAGGAAGCAGGTAGAACGATTTATCAGCAAATAACACCCCCCGCATAAACTTCTGTTACTGAAATATCGGGAATTCATTAAAAACAAGGTAGCTACACGGTAGGAATCCTGTTTTTAGCAATCATCCCGATGTACCTACGACAATGTAAGTTTTATATTACCTATTTAAAACTTAATTTACAGATATACCTACCTAATGTATGTATAAAAAAGTTTCCACGTTCTCTGAATAAAAAATATTAAGTATCATTTGTTCCAAATTAATTATAGAAAATGGTACTTGATCATTGAGTTCTATGGCGCAATTGTTATCGCGTTCGAAAAGAAATGTGACTTTCGGAAGGGCTAAAATTGCATATAAAATTATCGAGCCCTTTCGTGCTTCAGAAGGCAAGTTAAGCCGGTAGATCTGGTGAAATCTGCAGTTGTTAACACCTACAAATCCGCCCTAGGCGCTCGGGGTTGATGTTGGTCCATTCTCTTGGTTGATTTGATTTTAAGGAAGCATTAAGCCCCAGCATGGGGCACTCATAGGCCGATTTTGATGATGCCTTGACAATTTTGAACTACTTCAGTTTATGTTCATGAAACTTATTATCTTTGTTATTTTATGTATTTTCAGTAAGTCTTGATTCAATTAAAGTTTCACACAGGGTTTCTAACTGTCCTATAATATATAGTACTGTGTTATATTTTAGGTTTGCATAGTATATACTGTTGGAGAAATATGGAACACAGATATTTTTATAATCTACGACAGATTAAAAAATATATCCTTGGTTTAGCTAAGGTAAGAATATCATTTTTCTAGTCAGATTAGTAGCTGAAGATATTTACATTTTACAGTGAGTTATTATATCTGGTAAAAGTAATGTAATTTCAATAACATGATTATTGTAGAAATAGGTTACTTACTACGGTTTTTAGCGCATACGGTGGCCATTTTTTGGACGTCGTCTAAATACACTTTTTCGTTTGGTGACGCAAAAACTTGCGCTGTTAAGTCCGGTGAGAACTGTCCGTCTTCAGAAACGATCCCAGCCTTCTCCAATACACATCGAATGTAGCACTGAATTGGATACGTAATTCTTAAATCTAGTATTTTAGTTACAAAATGCTGTCGTTGAGTAGGTGTTGTTAGGCAACTTCCCCCAGGGGCCTAAATAATTACTATCACCAGCTACTTTGCGCCTCGGAAGACCTGTTAATCCAATGATCCAAGCTATATTTGCAGCCGTAATACCCACCCTCTAATCATATTTTTTTAAAGTAACTTATTATATTATAGCATACAGGAGTATTATTATACTGAACAAATATCATCAGTGCATCAGTGCCGTCCACAGAAATATATCTAGTTAGAAGGAAAAAGTGTACGTACTTCGCGTGCCGAAACGACGTCTAGACAGCTCCATTGCTCGCCGCGAGGCTCGGTCCACTTTCGATCGCAATCGGTGTTGGACGTCAGGTGTGAAATTTTAAATGACGCGTTGTTCGATAATTAACACCACCAATATAGTTAGATCTTATAGTCGAGGTATTTCCTTCCATCGGTAAGTAACTATTTGTCTAGATATATTTATTTTGAATTAAATATAAATATCATTTGTTTTGTTGCTCCGTAATATTTTAATCAAAACGATCATGTGTCCCGTAATAACTTTCCATTGCGGCTTTTATTTGACAGTCCAAATTTGCTGTGCTTGTAAAACCATCGATGTATATTTCAAGGTCAATTTATTGAAGGACAAATTATCATTTTTTCTGTCAAAAATGGAGAATAGTGCTGTACAATGCGATTTTTTTCTCGATTAAACAATATCGTTTTTGAAAGCAGAAGAAATAATTTATTTTTATATTGAATTGTACTGTAATTTTTGTTTTAGTTTTCCATATGATCTTCATATTAAAAATACATGGATTGAAGCAACAGGACTCTAAGGCAAATATGAGTAGTACGTACTTACTGGACATGGAAACTTTAACAAACACCTATATAATATGGGTTAATCTGACAGTCCTCTGTGCAGGGCGTGCATGGAGACTGAGGAGACAAGTACTCATGTGATACTGGAATGCAGGAGCCTATCAAGACAAAGGACTACATATCTAGGCAGCCCAAGGACACTAGTGGAGGCATGTGGCAGAGTTCGAAAACTTACGGGCTTCCTGGAGGAGCTGGGCTGGCAGGACTAATGCAACCCCGTGTCACGCAAAATAGTAGCCTGATACAAATACGAGAAAAATGGAAATAATTCGATATAAGCCTGGAATATTTTTAATCGAGTTTGTGAGCCAATTACAAGAGACTATATTTAAGAATCCATCTCATTTTAGCTACGTAAGGTATAAAAAAAACATCAGGTCAAAAAACCTTCATTTATGCACGCAAAATTACTAACACGATTGTTTTCACAAATTTTGATTTTATTTATTATAGCGACAGTGAAAATTACTGAAATCCAACTAAAAAAATTACAGGATATAGTGATTTTTATTAAACTTTATTTTTTACTTAATTTTTTTTTTGTTGTAGTTTAATATAATAAAACTTTAATTTAAATATTTATGAGTGGATTTTAATGATATTTAGTAGAATATGTGTTTCACTCAAAAGTCTGCTGCATATATTGCGTGTTATATACCAATTGGAATATTGATATTATTGAAAAATTGGAATGACATAACGAAAAATCTGAATGATAATGACATTGTAATTTTGGGTCTTGGCCGTCATGATCATAACATTCACTTATTACATTCCAATATTTGTATAATGTTAAATAACCTAAAAAAAATCAGTTATTTTAGTATAATATATAATAATCCTTATTTAAACGAATGGACATTAAATTATAATATTAGACTTTGGACAAAACATTTTCCACACTGTTCGTTTATTGACATGTTTCCTTTTTATAATTATGTTAATCCTATGACTTATTTATGTGACAAAATTAATCTTTGTGTTGACTAAATAGAATATAAGAACCATTATCTATCTTATGATTTTATTAAAAATCATATAAAAAGAAGTAAAATCTTTTAAAAAAGGCCGACTACTCACCGTTTTTTCGAGAATAAGTCGGGTCAAGTCTTTACAATTTTCCATCAGAATATACAAGGTTTACGCTTAAAAAGGAAATATTGGAATTAACCCTTTCCCGTTTGAAAAATAATACTGATCCTGATGTGCTATGTTTTACAGAACATTTTATACAACTTGGTCAAGAAAATAATATAAATATTCATAATTATAAACTAGTTTCTAACTACTCACGACCAACAAAGAGAGGTGGATCTTGTATTTTGATTAAAAGAGGACTTGATTGCAAAAAGATCACGTTTTTTGAGGATCTTACGATGATTTACCATTTTGAATGTTGTGCAGTGAATTTGATCTCAAACAACATTATAGTAATATGTATATATAGAATACCATCTAAAATAAAACGTCATATTGAATATTTCTACGAAAAAATTGACTTGCTGCTATACAAATGTCTGCATAAATTTCCCAAAAAAAGGATAATAGTAACTGGCGACTTTAACATTAATATGTTGGAAAATAATCAATATACTTCCACATTTCGTAACATTCTTCAAAAGTATAATCTAAACTCGCATATAAAGGTCGCCACCAGAGGGAGTACATGCCTTGACCAAATAATAAGTAACATTGTCAACGGAATTGGTTATGTATTGCCATTATGGTTATCGGATCACGATACTGCTCAGATTTTGAAGTTTTGTGTACATCGTAAAACTCAAACCCCACACTTTGTGTACACTTATCGTAAATGCTACTCAGTAGAAAATATCAATAAATTTAAGACATTTTTAAGTAGCATTTCGTTTTCAAATGTTTTTAATAAAAAAGATATAAATATTGCATTCAATGAATTCCACGACATTTTCACTTTTTTGTACAATTTGTGTTTTCCAGTAGCAAAACATAAACATAATTCTTCCTTCAAGCTTAAATGGATCTCTAAAGGCCTAAAAATAAGTAGCATCACAAAAAGGAAACTACGTTATAAATATTACACAAATAAAAATAGTAATAATAGATGAAGTTATAATAAATATAGTAAATTGTTAAAAAAATGTATTAAATTGATTAGTAACAGTAACAATATCTGTAAAGCGACGTGGAAGGTCATAAGGAATGAAACCTCTGAAACATTGAACCATAATAGATATATAAATAAAATCATCCATAACAATACTGAAATAACGAATCCAACGACAATTGCATCAATATTTAATAATAATTTTATAAATAATAGTACAGTAAATATTGACCAAAAAAATTATTACTCTTTAAATAGAGTTTTGCAAAATAGTATATTTCTATCACCAGTAACTGCAAAGGCATTATTCCGTATGCATCAAAGTCTTAAAGCTGTGTAGAAATACACTATGCAGTGTTTTAGCTTTTCTGATAAACCTGTCTTTACAAACAGGAAAATTTCCCGATAAATTGAAAATGGCAATTGTGAAACCGTTGTTTAAAAAGGGTGACGAATATGACATATGCAATTATCGTCCAATAGCAATATTACCTGTCATATCTAAAATATTTGAAAAGGTCATGCATGAACTTACTAATTTCCTCACAAAATTTAAAATCATCAAGGACAACCAATACGGTTTCCAAAAGAATAAATCAACAACTCATGCAGCTTTTGACCTAGTGAATGAAGTTATGTTAAATGTAAATATGAAATACTATACAACAGTAATATTCCTCGATATGTCTAATGCTTTTGACTGTGTTTTTCATAAAATACTATTAAAAAAACTGGAATGTTATGGATTAAGGGGTCCTGCATTAAACTGGTTGGATTCCTACTTATCTAACTGAATGCAATTCATAGAGATACCACAGATTGAAAAAAAAAAAATACAATTCATCTTTACAGATCTAAACCAAAACATTATAAATGTGGCGTTCCTCAAGGCAGTGTTCTAGGCCCTTTGTTGTTTTTGCTCTACATAAATGATTTACCTGACATAACAAAATTTAAGACGGTACTATTTGCTGATGATATTTCCATTATTGTTTCAACGAAAAGTACCTTAAAACAACACAAACTTGACATCACAAATACAATGACATCAATTATTAATTGGCTTCAGAATAACAATCTTAAGATAAATTTAGCAAAAACTAATATAATTAATTTCAATAATTTTAAAAATCAATCAGTAGACGTATCTAGGCTTAATAGTTGATCCTAAATTCAGTTGGAAAGAGCATATAGAAAAAGTGTGCAATAAAGTGAACTCCTTTTCCTTCGCGTTATATAAACTTACAAAAGTAGCAAGTGTAAATACGGCTATCATGGCTTATTTCGCATATGTAGAATCTATCTTAAGATATGGTTTATTAATTTGGGGAAAGGGCACTGATACTAAAATTCTTTTTATTGCTCAAAAAAGATGCATTCGTGCTATATGCAATCTAAAGCCGGATATTTCTTGCAAGCCTTACTTTAAAACTCTCCAAATTTTGACACTGCCCTGTCTTTATATTTTAGAGGTTTGCATATTTGTAAAATTAAATAGTAAAAAGTTTACACAAGCACAGGATTTGAGCCAAAGATTAAAAAGAAACCCTGAAAGATTAGTTTTGAAATTCGTCCCTAAAACTCAAAGACTTCAGAATAGCAGTTACGCCATGTGCCAAAATATATACAGGAATATTTTTTTTCCAGTGCAAAAATTTTTTTTGGTGGTTCAGTATCAGTAATAGAACACTTTTCCATAATTAGTTAAAAATTTTTTTTTAAATATTTTTATCCCTATCGAAACGGTAGAATATGGACACATTTTTTAAAATAAAACTTCAATGAAAACGTCTTCTCTTGCGTATGCCACCGTGCAACCCCGCCGCGCCCGGTAGCCCCCCGCCACAGCCCCCACCGCCCCGCCGGGACCGAGCGACGCGCGCGACAGTGAGACTCATACGCACGCGCCGATGTGACGTGTCCTCGCGTTCCCGCGCACGCGACGCGCCCGCCGTCGTGAGTTTTACGAGATGTACGAGTTTATCTTTTGAGTGGTGAGAACCTACATAAGCGCAATTCGGAGAAAGTATGCGACGAAGAGCATACCTCGTATGCGGGCCTTTGGGATCCATAACCCCGCGGTCCCTAATGCTTCGAACCATTTTAACAGACGAAGTCCCAGAGTCAGTACCCACGATGCGGCATATCTCTTTGGTGTGAGCCAGCCTGCGGTATTGAAGCTGCTAAAAACAGCCGGACTCGGTCCGTACCACTTTCAGCCGGTTCAGCAGTTCCATGACCTAGACCCAATACCACGTCGAGCCTTATGTGAGTGGCTTCTACATCACCGCGATGTAAACATCTTGTAGACGGATGAGGCACTGTTCACAAGTGAGGGACTGTTTCTTATGGGAAGAAGTCAAACGCCGAGATGTAGAGGAGGCACAAAGTCTAGAAGACAACAATAAAAAATAATAACGCTTTCAGTGAAGTGAAAAGTGACACTAGTATTTTAAACAAATTAAATGACAATTTAATGAAATGTGCACGTTTATGTCTGGACAGACGTGGACTTCATTTTGAACAAATATTAAAATACATGGTAAGTAATTAATTAGGTATTTGTTTTGATTCAACATTATTGTAAATACGTAGTTGATTCTAATTTTTTTAAATACGCCTTAACGCAGAAGTACCTATGTAACTTCGGCATAACGTTAATATTTTTTTCTAGGTAACGAATTTGTTTCTCTTTTATTTTTTTGCATTTTGATGGCCTTAACCATAAAAGTATGAAGGGAAAATTGGAATTACTCTTAGAAAACACCTCAGATCATGGCATAAAATCTAGTTCGAATCTAACAAAATGAGCGTTCAGTGACCCGTGTAGATAGGTACCTACGAGTACATGCCTACGGCGGCGTCGAGCGAGCGCTCAGCTGACGCACGGCGCGCGGTGTCCATAAATGAAGTTTTAAAATCTCGATCTTTGATAAGCGATAACTTTACTTTTTAGTATTAGAACATATCAAAATAAAAAATACGTGTTTATTTAAATTACTTAAAGTTTATTTTCACAAAATCTTCGCAGTGGTTTTAAATTATTCCTGTATAACAAAATACCCAATAATTTCAAACTATTACCGTCTAACCGATTCAAATCTACTTTACGTAAATGGTTAT